CACGTGACAGGATGTTTCCGTTTGGGATGGGGAGAGGTAGGGAAAGCGGATTTCACCGGAAACACACTTATCTGCCCTTCATTTGCATCACGTGACAGTATGTTGGGGAGAGGTAGGGACATTGCATTCTACCGGAAACGTACTTATCTGTCCTTGGTTTTGCATCACGTGACAGGACGTTTCCGTTTGGGTTGCGGGAGAGGTTGGGACATTGCATTCTACAGGAAACCTAGTTATCTGCCCTTCATTTGCCTCACGTGACAGGATGTTTCCGTTTTGGATTGGGGAGAGGTAGGGACATTGCATTCTACAGTAAAACATACTTATCTGCCCTTGATTTTGCATCACGTGACAGGATGTTTCCGTTTGGGATTGGGGAGAGGTAGGGACATTGCATTCTACCAGAAGCGTAGTTATCTGCCCTTGATTTGCCTCACGCCACAGGATGTTTCCGTTTGGGATTGGGGAGAGGTAGGGACATTGCATTCTACAGTAAAACATACTTATCTGCCCTTGATTTTACATCACGTGACAGGATGTTTCCGTTTGGGATGGGGAGAGGTAGGGAAAGCGGATTTTACCGGAAACACTTATCTGCCCTTGATTTGCATCACGTGACAGTATGTTGGGGAGAGGTAGGGACATTGCATTCTACCGGAAACGTAGTTATCTGCCATTGATTTGCCTCACCTGACCGGATGTTCGCATTGGAGAGATATTTATTAATTAGATTGTACCGGAAACACTTATCTGCCCTTGAGTTGCATTACGTGACAATATTTTGGGGAGAGGTAGGGACATTGCATTCTACCGGATGCGTAGTTATCTGCCCTTGATTTGCCTCACGTGACAGGATGTTTTCGTTTGGGATTGGGGAGAGGTAGGGACATTGCATTCTACCGGAAACCTAGTTATCTGCCCTTGATTTGCCTCACGTGACAGGATGTTTCCGTTTGGGATGGGGAGAGGTAGGGAAAGTGGATTTTACCGGAAACGTACTTATCTGCCCTGGATTTCCCTCACATGACCGGATGTTTGCATTGGAGAGATATTTATTAATTAGATTGTACCGGAAACATACTTATCTGCCCTTGATTTGCATCACGTTACAAGATGTTTCCGTTTAGGATGGGGAGAGGTAGGGAAAGCGGATTTCACCGGAAACACACTTAACTGCCCTTGATTTGCATCACGTGACAGGATGTTGGGGAGAGGTAGGGACATTGCATTCTACCGGAAACATACTTATCTGTCCTTGGTTTTCCATCACGTGACAGGACGTTTCCGTTTGGGTTGCGGGAGAGGTTGGGACATTGCATTCTACCGGAAACGTACTTATGTGCCCTTGATTTGCCTCACGTGACAGGATGTTTCCGTTTGGGATTGGGGAGAGGTAGGGACATTGCATTCTACCGGAAACGTAGTTATCTGCCCTTGATTTGCCTCACGTGACAGGATGTTTCCGTTTGGGATTGGGGAGAGGTAGGGGCATTGCATTCTACCGGAAACATACTTATCTGTCCTTGGTTTTCCATCACGTGACAGGACGTTTCCGTTTGGGTTGCGGGAGAGGTTGGGACATTGCATTCTACCGGAAACGTACTTATGTGCCCTTGATTTGCCTCACGTGACAGGATGTTTCCGTTTGGGATTGGGGAGAGGTAGGGACATTGCATTCTACCGGAAACCTAGTTATCTGCCCTTGATTTGCCTGACGTGACAGGATGTTTCCGTTTGGGATTGGGGAGAGGTAGGGGCATTGCATTCTACCGGAAACCTAGTTATCTGCCCTTGATTTGCCTCACGTGACAGGATGTTTGCGTTAGGGATTGGGGAGAGGTAGGGACGTTACATTCTGCCGGAAACGTAGTTATCTGCCCTTGATCTGCCTCACGTGACAGGATGTTTCCGTTTGGGATTGAGAGAGGTAGGGACATTGCATTCTACCGGAAACATACTGATGTCCCCTTTATTAGCATCACGTGACAGGATGTTGCCCTTTGGAGTCGGGGAGAGGTAGGGACATTGCATTTTAGGCCAGAAACACTTACCTGCCTGTGATTTGCATCACATGACCGGATGTTCGCATTGGAGAGATATTTATTAATTCGATTGTACCGGAAACGTACTTTTCTGACCTTGATTTGCGTCACGTGACAGGATGTTTCCGTTTGGGATGGGGAGAGGTAGGGAAAGCGGATTTCACCGGAAACACACTTATCTGCCCTTCATTTGCATCACGTGACAGTATGTTGGGGAGAGGTAGGGACATTGCATTCTACCGGAAACATACTTATCTGTCCTTGGTTTTGCATCACGTGACAGGACGTTTCCGTTTGGGTTGCGGGAGAGGTTGGGACATTGCATTCTACCGGAAACGTAGTTATCTGCCCTTCATTTGCCTCACGTGACAGGATGTTTCCGTTTGGGATTGGGGAGAGGTAGGGACATTGCATTCTACAGTAAAACATACTTATCTGCCCTTGATTTTGCATCACGTGACAGGATGTTTCCGTTTGGGATTGGGGAGAGGTAGAGACATTGCATTCTACCGGAAGCGTAGTTATCTGCCCTTGATTTGCCTCACGTGACAGGATGTTTCCGTTTGGGATTGGGGAGAGGTAGGGACATTGCATTCTACCGGAAACCTAGTTATCTGCCCTTGATTTGCCTCACGTGACAGGATGTTTCCGTTAGGGATTGGGGAGAGGTAGGGACGTTACATTCTGCCGGAAACGTAGTTATCTGCCCTTGATTTGCCTCACGTGACAGGATGTTTCCGTTTGGGATTGGGGAGAGGTAGAGACATTGCATTCTACCAGAAGCGTAGTTATCTGCCCTTGATTTGCCTCACGCGACAGGATGTTTCCGTTTGGGATTGGGGAGAGGTAGGGACATTGCATTCTACCGGAAACCTAGTTATCTGCCCTTGATTTGCCTCACGTGACAGGATGTTTCCGTTTGGGATGGGGGAGAGGTAGAGACATTGCATTCTACCGGAAACCTAGTTATCTGCCCTTGATTTGCCTCACGTGACAGGATGTTTCCGTTTGGGATTGGGGAGAGGTAGGGACATTGCATTCTACCGGAAACCTAGTTATCTGCCCTTGATTTGCCTCACGTGACAGGATGTTTCCGTTTGGGATTGGGGAGAGGTAGGGACATTGCATTCTACCGGAAACCTAGTTATCTGCCCTTGATTTGCCTCACGTGACAGGATGTTTCCGTTTGGGATGGGAGAGGTAGGGACATTGCATTCTACCGGAAACCTAGTTATCTGCCCTTGATTTGCCTCACGTGACAGGATGTTTCCGTTTGGGATTGGGGAGAGGTAGGGACATTACATTCTACCGGAAACGTAGTTATCTGCCCTTGATTTGCCTCACGTGACAGGATGTTTCCGTTTGGGATTGGGGAGAGGTAGGGACGTTACATTCTACCGGAAACGTAGTTATCTGCCCTTGATTTGCCTCACGTGACAGGATTTTTCCGTTTGGGATTGGGGAGAGGTAGGGACATTGCATTCTACCTGAAACATACTTATATTCCCCTTTATTAGCATCACGTGACAGGATGTTGCGCTTTGGAGTCGGGGAGAGGTCAGGACATTGCATTTTAGGCCAGAAACACTTATCTGCCTGTGATTTGCATCACATGACCGGATGTTCGCATTGGAGAGATATTTATTAATTCGATTGTACCGGAAACGTACTTATCTGACCTTGATTTGCGTCACGTGACAGGATGTTTCCGTTTGGGACGGGGAGAGGAAGGGAAAGTGGATTTTACCGGAAACGTACTTATCTGCCCTTGATTTGCATCACGTGACAGGATGTGTCTGTTTGGGAAGGAGAAAGGTTTTAACATTACATTCTACCACACACGTACTTATATGTTCATGCCCTTGATTTGCATCATGTTAGTGGATGTTGGGGACAGGTAGGGATATTGCATTCCACCAGAAACACTTATCTACCTTTGATTCGCATCACATGACCGGATGTTCGCATTGGAGAAATATCTATTAATTAGATTGTACCGGAAACGTACTTATCTGCCCTTGATTTGCATCACGTGACAGGATGTTGGGGAGAGGTAGGAACATTGCATTCTACCGAAAACGTACCTATCTGCTCTTGATTTGCATCACGTGACCAGATGTTCGCTTTGGAGAGAGATTAATTCGATTCTACCGGAAAAATACTTGTGTAATTATAATAATTTGAGAGCGATTTTTACCAAACTGGTTTGACAAACGCTGTCAAATAAAGGCAGAAGATTAATGACGACTGGAAACATTATTAAGATATCAAATACAAATATAACGAGATATTTCCGCACATTAAGTCAAGAAAACTTTCTTTTGAATCCCCATGTTATTCTCATTGTTTTTTTGTCCGGAAGTGGATCTCAGAACAATTTTGTTGGTCAAAAATGGAAATATACTCAGTAGCAAAAAAACGTCAGTACGAATTCAAAATTAGATAGGCACTGTAATCAAACGTTTCTTTTGCTGCTTAGTATACTTCAACCCTACGCTGATGACCTTTGCATCTTTGATGTTATTGGCTATCAGCCGAAAGGATATTTTAATATATTGGGACCAGCAATCAACATGGATAAGATGCAAGTAATATTGTTTCATCTTATTAAAACTATTTAGGCATTCTATTCCATCTCGACTATCATGGAACGTACAAAGAAAAATATACAACATGATGCGTTTAAATATCTGATTTCCAAATAAAAACAATATTATAGTGAGATTGATAAGGGACCGCTCATAATTTATGGCATGTGCAATGTGACTAACTCAACTGTAAAAGGATATTTTTGAATGCCTAAACACAACGAGTATCATATCACCGTGTTGTTCAATTACTATGTGTTGTACGTGAGTCATACACAATAATGTTGTAATTAAATGATTAAATTCATACTCCATTGAAACAATGTTGTTTATTTTCTTGCCTCTATATATAAATATTTATGCAACATACCTTAATCCCCGTCCAAACTATTCACCTGTGTGAAATAATGTCCCCGACCATGTCTTTTCTTCCATTGCCGCTCCATGACTGATCAAACCACGTGTTCGCCTTTAGGAAAAGCACGTGCAAATCAAACTTTTCGCATTCCGCCACTCTTCACGACTTCCACGTGTTTTGTATGACCATGACACCTTACATAGCGTCTTTGTTGCTTGTTGAAGCTGACTAAATTGATTACGTAAATACATTACACATGTGTTTTCAGGATGTCTTCCAAACCTAATCTGATGTACTTTTTTTTTTGCAGTAAGAGTATTTACCCAATAAAGGCTGAATTTGATATACAGGGTTTAAATTAATGAATCGACTCAAATACAGTGACTGCTGACTGCTGAATTCTTTTCCGCAAGTGCACTCTTTTTTGTCTATTTATCGAAACCGAAACGAGGCTGAAATTATGACTAATCTTGATTGAAATAATCAGACACGGTTGATTCCACTCGGTCTTGAAATTGTCTGGTGATTAAAAAATGAGGTAATCTGCCTCTTAATCCAAATTGATGCATATCTTTTAAAATACCATGTCAATGGTAGCCTACTTCTGGATTTGCTTTAACCACATTTGATGTTGATAGGGAGGTTATTGGTGTCCAAGTACCAAATTAAGCGTTTGTTGTGTGTTTACAGCTGCAGCTGTTTACTGGTGTAGGACGGTAATCTGATGGCTCAGTATGATCCGGACAGGTTTTGTCATAGGTATGAGTGAGTATTGTTTTACGCCGCTTTTAACAATATTCCAGCAATATCACGGCGGGAGACACCAGAAATGGGCTTCACACATCGTACCCATGTGGGGAATCGAACTCGGGTCTTCGGCATGACGAGCGATCACTTTAACCACAAGGCTACCCCACGCCCTTCATATATATGATGTTAGTTTATTTGTTGATAATGGCATGGTAATGAGGCCCTCTTCAGGTAGACCCAGTTATGGTTATATACATTAAACAGAAATCATGTGCAGATACTTATCTATCGGTCCATATAAATACAATGTATGCACTTTTGGGCATCGCCTGTCTGAGGCTCTGTGATTTTCCGATTTTACGTGCGCTTCCGACATAATGCTATTCCGCACTCGCTCTTGTGGCAAGACGTTTCCACTTTTATTAAGAAATTCAGATATCGCCAATTCAGTTCAAGATATATTCAATTTAATTCAATATATTTTTAAAACAATTTAAGATAACAGTAATTTTTCAACACATTATCTTTATTTGAGATATCTTTAATTCATTTCAAGATATATTTTATTCAGTTCAAGATATCAGCAATTCTTTCCAAGATGTCAATAATATGCTTCATCATATCCTAAATTCATTTGACGATATCATGAATTTTATAGCAGGTATCTATGATTATCTTTAATCGATATTTATTCAATTCAATTCAAGATGTCACTATTTTCATTCAAGATATCATTAAAACAATTTAAAGTATCAGTATACTGTAAAAACGGCTTGCCAACGCCCTGCAGTTCTCACATTCGTCACCATTCGCCCCTTTCCGTAACCTCCAAGAAGCGCTTGTCCCGGAATTAGACGGAGTTGGTCACGAATACAGTTCTAAGTGAGTCTTTTTGGTGCATGGTTGTATATGGAGTACGGATTGCTTATTATGGGAGATATATGGGAGGCATATTGTGAGCATTCTAATTTTGCTTTTTTAATTATGCACGGTAGCTTGTTTGGTCTCATGTTATATAATATTAGGCGGTGCATATATTCCTCCTCAAAGTTCCGTACGAGTTTGATTATCAATGCGATAACATATTTGATTTGGACATAGTACTGTCAATCAAACATGAAATAACAGGATATTGATTATTATTTGTGGAGCCTTTGATGCAAATACAGGAGAGGAGGAAGGTTGTTATTGTTTATGATATGAATGATAGGTCTGTACCAGATCTTTTGAAAAATGTTTTTGATTCTTTACTCGTGTCAAAAGGTTTTGTTGCAAATGCATTTGGTAGAAAGTTGATAAACCTTTGTATGGGCAGTCTCTCGTACAGACCCTGAAGGAAAGCCCACACAAGTCTAGAAAATGTGGCAAGTCTAGATCTCCTCAGCTTTAGGAAAATGAAGAAAGTCTCAGGGCTCCTTTTCATTATATATATATTTTTTTTACTATGAACTTTTTTCAGTAAAATATGTTCATTTCAGAGACTAGTTGTTAGTCTAGGGCAATAACATGCATATTGTGAACGGAAGATGAGATAATGACAGAACTAGGGAAGATTTTACGTACGCTTCACGCAACGCGTGCAGTAGCATTGATTATTTCATTTTGTCATCTACTACATGCCTATGGTCATTCGTCACCACTCGCCCCTTTCCGTAACCTCTTGTCCCGGAATAACACGAGTGGGTCGCGAATGGCCTATGTTGTGATAGTTTATAAAAGTATGTTTTTCTCACATTGGTGTTGCAGCTCGATTATGGGTACCGATGTTCAGTTACCCCAGAATGACACTTATAAATCATCAGAAAAAAATGGAACCATGTTTTTTTGTGAATCCATATGCAAAACTGATTACAATTATCAGTGGCTCAAAAAATTAACACGCACTTTCCACGGAATGCATATTTGTTACATAAGCCCCGGCACTAATCGTCTTTATTTGAACTAATTTCAAACTTTTCGGTTGAAAACCGTAATGAATCAGATTATTTCCCATTGCTTTTGGAGGTGTCTAGAGATGCACAGGTACACTTCCATTACTGATTTACAGTTGCCGGGTTTTAAGTACCTGGAAGGAGTCAATTCATTGTCATAGTCTAAACCATTTACAACGTTTATCGTACAAGGTGAAATAGCACAAGCAGTACATTTTATGAATGACATTTTTCTACAGTCTGATTGTATGAAAAAGAAAACACAGATTATGACGCATTCCCAACCAAAGTGGTTTGTTAATGATTGCAGAGTGGCTAAGAAATTTAAGAATTCTTGTCTGCATACATTTCGTAATAGCAGCAATGAGGAAGGTCTTGCTAATTATATCCAAAGTACAAACATGTTCAAGAGGCTTTGCAAGGACAAGAAGCAAATGAAGGAACAAGAAAATCTATACAGACTAATTGATACTCTCTCCCATAGCACAGAATTTTGGAAAACCGTTAAATCCATTTTATATTCCAGGAAGTCAACAGTTAGCCTAATATGGCTCGGAAACTGGAAACTTCAATTTTGAAAAATGTTTCAATGAGTTAGACAGTACACACGTCGTAGATAGCGTCGTTTTTTAACTCCGAATTGAAGATATCTCTGGTGCTATTTCAAATGGATCTATAACAGAACATGAGATAAGAAGCGGTATTAGAAATAGAAATGACCCTAATAACTATCGGGGATATCCCTTATGAGTATATAATTTTGGGAAATTTTTCACTTCAGTTATGTGTGAAAGACTTACCCTTTGGGTTAGTGTATATGATAAAGTAGTTGAATCAGAAGCTGGCTTTAGGGAGGGATTTCCACAATAGATAATGAATGTATTTTATACGCTGTTGTCAAAACATGCATAGGAAAGAAAGAGGGTAGAATGTATGCAGCATTTATTGACTTTAAAGGCGTTTGATACGGTGAAACGTCCAAAAATTATGGGAAGTATTGAAAAGAATTGGGGTGAGAGGCAAGGTGTTACAAATTATAATGAATATATATTCTATCGTCCCCGGGGCTTAAATTCGTGAAATGCTTGTAACTGAAGAAAAAGATTCTAAGACACGATAAATGGAATGAACTTTACAATAAACGGAACAATAAACAATCATTACAAAACGCAAAGTTATAAACTTCTGAAACGTTCAGTTATTAAAAATGCCCTTTAGTTGCTTGCGTCAGAGTAATGAATATATTGCGTCTGAGTGAGTGAGTATGGTTTAACGCCGCTTTTAGCAATATTCCAGCAATATCATGGCAGGGACACCAGAAATGGGCTTCACACATTGTACCCATGTGGGGAATCGAACCCGGGTCTTCGGCGTGACGAGCCAACGCTTTAACCACTAGGCTACACCACCGCCCCTGCTTGCGTCAGAAGCAACAGAGTGTATTCTGAGTTGTTGTATTGTCCCGTTGGACTAAACAGGGTTGCGTTATGAGTCCATTTATGTTCTCTTTATATATAAACCAGTTTGCTTTAAAAACTGAACATTCTTAATGTTACGGTATACTATTCTCTGACATCGTCAAACTTTATTTGTTGCATTCGTGACCCACTCGTGTTATTCCGGACAAGCCGAATAGCGCATCTGGAGTTTACGGAAGGGGCGAGTGGTGACGAATGTATTTGTTGTTGTTTGCTGACGATATGGTTTTGTTTTCGAATCTTGAGCGAGAGTTACAAAAGCAATTAGATATTTTGTCTGAATTTTCAACCGAATACGGTCTAAGAAAAGCAAGATTTATGGATGTCAACTTCTTTATTGTGAATAACACGGCGTTTCGGAGTAAACATACATTCCGAAACGTCGTGTTATTCACAATAAAGAAGTTGACATCCATAAATCCTGCTTTTAGATGCCTTCCACTTCTAAATGCCCTTCAAAGATTCGAATATGGGCTCACGGTGTATTTGAAAAATCTAAAATAATGGTTTTAGCTAAAAGAGAAAAATGGTTTAATAAAGGTATACAGTTAGAAACTTAGGTGTTCGCTATATTATGCTATGGGTGTGAAATCTGGGGTCATACTAAGCTTGACAACATTGAAAGAATCTATATTTTGGCTTGCAAGAACTTTTCGCAAGTGAGCAAGAAAACTAATTCCCATGCTGTTGTTGGTGAGTGTGGCCGTTACACTATATAAACTCATCCTTTAAAAGATATATTAAATAATGGTTGAAATTAACAACAATGTAGGCAATGTCTTATGTTCTAACGGCTTCATGTTCGGTGAATAAGGGTGTTGAAAATAAAGATGTATTTTTATACCAATTTTCACAAAGGATAAGATACGTATTTATCTCAGAATGGTCCCGATCCACAAAGCGTTCGTAGCGCTACGACATTCGTTAGCCAATGGTAACTATAGAGTTACGACAGGTCATAAAGTTACGAACGCTTTGTGAATCGGGGCCCAGGGCTTAGATTTTCGTAGCTATCTTAGCGCTAAGATTGTCGTAAGTTAATGTTAATGTATGGCACTTACGACTATCTTAGCGCTAAGAGAGCTTCGAAAATCTAGGCCCAGTGCCCTTATATATATTCTCGAAACGTTCGCAGCCTTAAGAATTCTTATCTTTGACCGTAGCCAATGTGTCAAGAATGGGTTTAAGAAGTTCGTAGGGCTGCGAACGTTTCGAGAACACCTAGCCAGGACTCGAATCGTCATCAAAACTTTCTACCTTTCAAAACAATTTTTGAACCAGAGAGATATTTGAAAGCTGTGACTATTCCAAAATTCAAGCGTATACTGGCTAATTTTAGATGTGGTGTATCACCACTGGAAAATGAAAGGGGAAGGACATTAGGTGTCTGTAGAGAGGAAATATATTGTAAGCTTTGTGAAGATGGAAGTGTTTCATTTCGTGTTCTTGTGTAAAGCATTTATAGATTTGAGACAAACTTATATCTAGGACTGAGACGGGTAACCTGGATACCCGGGTACCATGTATCAATACCCGGACCGTTATGATCTTGTGACTAATAGATTAAACAATGTGATATGTTATTCTTTCATGATTAAAAGGTTGTACTGTCTTTGAAGATTTAGACATGATTTACAGTCACTTCTTTTGAATATAATACATGGTTAAGATATTGAAGAACTCGAAATTGTAGCCTCCGAGCTGAAGAACATATCGTCATTTCTTTCAAATTTGATGTTAGGGTAGTCTCCTGGTTAGGGGGGGGGGTACCCGGGTAGAAAATTTGTACCCGTCCCAGCCCTACTTATATCCCCAAAACATATTTCATATTTTCATACTGTTCATGGCCACTAACAATGATGATATAATTCAGAACACAGCTTAGTATATTTATCATGCTTAGAACATCTTGTTAATATGACTGGTATTGCCTGCACACCGTTATGTACACATATTTTCCTCATGTAATTTGTTGATATGGGCAGGTGGCCTAAAGCGATACTACATGATGATGATGACTACATGGTTGTGAAGTTGAATCATGGATCATCCCAATCATGTTTTCTGGTTTGCAGGCACCATACCCATGCTGGTGTCACTTCCAGTGTTCCTCCCACAATAAGCTGACAGGCAATATCAGTACAAGGTCTCTTTAAAAGTACAAATGGAACAGATGAGTCTTCAAGAGGGACTTAAATTGTTCCAACGACTGGGCATCTTTGAGAATGTCTGGCAGTGAGTTCCATTTAGTGGCAGCTGCAACACTAAAAGACTTGTAACCAAAGGACTTTTTCTTCCATGCTGGCATCATGAGTCTCTGTTGATTCTCAGACCTGAGAAAACATGACGGCACATGTACATGCATACAAGGTTACAGGTATGATGGGGCCAGATTGTGAAAGCACTGACATGCCAGGGTGAGGATTTTATAGTCCACACTCTCCCCAACTGGGAGCAAATGTAACGCCATGGTGTTATGTGCATCTTGATACATGTTGAAACAAATTTGTATGCTAGTCAGCAGAATTACAAACGTATCACAACAACCTCTAATAACTGGATGAAACCAGTGGGTTATATTACGAGCACCATCCCACAAGATCAGGATGTGATGACACAAATCCATCAAGCACCTGCCACCAGGTCAGTTCTTGTCATCTCTTACAATCAGCATTTTTATCACAGATGCATTTTAAGCCTTTTTAGCAGATATTAGAAATCTGGCAAAGAGGTCTTAAAGAAACATGTAACACATGCTATATTTGGGATTACACTTTCTCAGTAAAGTACAGATTCTAGTACTTTTGTTGGGTTGAGTCCTGGAAAGGAATCCCTCAAGTCAGCCAGCACACAAAGTCAGCCATCTAACCCACTCAGCTACTGCAGGTTCCACTATCTAAATGGCATTGACCGCCTCAGTGGTGCAGTCGTTAGAGCGTCCGCCAGGAGAGCCCTAGGTCGCAGGTTCAATCCCCGGCCACGTCATACCAATAGACATTAAAATATGGTACTTGTTGGTCCCCGTCTGACGCTCGACATTAATGGGTACAACAAGGACTGGTCGTCTCGGAGTCAGTATAAGGTGTCTGAGTGAGGTCTTCATGCTTCACTGCGGCATGGTATCTCAGTGAGCTAGCACTATAAACCCGGCTTAAGTCTGGGTTAGTACAAGCAGCCGCACATACATGTTGCCATATGAGTGAAATATTCTTAAGTACGACATTTAACCCCATTTCACCTCACCTTAATGGCAATGTGTATTCATGTCTTGAAGAAATAATAAAAAGGTGTCTTGGGACCGACTCTACCCTGAAATAAAAAAGTGAGTGAATCTTGATTGATCCCTTATTCACACATCTAATTTACTTGAATTTGAGTTGAAAAACAACAGATCTTGTATGTATTATTCATTTTTTATTCATGATATATTTTGATTTTTTCAAAATACACTTTTTTTCCACAATCTTCTCTCACATATTAACATATTATTCCAAATATATATATTTATATGTATTTATATGATATTTACAACTTAAACAACCAAAATATACACAGATTAACCTTGGGATGAACTGAGAGACGTCAGTAAGCTCTTCGTCACCACTCTCCTGTGGGACAGCATTAATATTGTAAACAAACATACACAACAATGACAACACACACAGCTTGCATGTCAGTCCTCACAGGTCCTCACAGCCTCCTCCAGACTACAGGGACGTACCAGTACAATATCACAATAATTCCATACATATTTCTCTCATTTAATATAAAGATGAAGGGATTGGCTTATTACCTGCTTCTATTTTCAGTCTTGAAGGATAAATTACATAACACCCTGTTCAGAAAAACTGTGAGTGAGTGAGTATGGTCTAATGCCGCTTTTAGCAATATTTCAGCAATATCACAGCGGGGGACACCAGAAATAGGCTTCACACATTATTATTATTATTATTAATGAATTTGTGAATGAATGTTTATGTACTGTACTATCAGAACACCCCGCCATGTATAGAAATATGAATATTCATTCACCTGATGAAGAGACAAGAAGTAGCCATGAAACATTGTGAATGTATAAAAACCAGATGTTACCCTTTAAACACTGTCACATTTATACCTAACTGCTAAATGCCCATAAACGTCTTTGAACGCTTTGACTAAAAGGCTAAAAATTGGAATCCAAACTTTTGAAACTTTGGATCACCAGATAATAGTAAACTGAACTGGGGGGAAGAAATCATTTAAAAAACTACTTCCTGTGCATAAATTAAGCAAAGTAAACCACACAAAAAAGTAATACAAATGAAGGGTATTTCATTACACTTCAGTTGCAAAATAAATAAATGAAGATTGAATGGTGTCAAAAAATCCAATGCCAAAAATATCTATGGAACCAATGTCTATCTATTGATATGGTAGAAGTGGTGCGACTAAAATCGTGTGCTTGGATGTCATTGGATACGAATGTTGGTGACCCTGTCGGCCATTAGAATACAGAAGTATGGATGTGTTAAATAGGTTAACTTACGAATGTTATTTTTCACAACCAAACGACAGACAAGCACTATGATGGCGTTAACAGAGGTTTAGATTTTGTATCATATGTTAGGTATATATTTCATTTATCATGAGAAACTGATAAACACAAAATAACATACAGAGGTATCTATATTCTCCAACAAGGACTGATCATTTTAACATTGAAATGAAGTAGGGTCACTGAATAAGTTTGTGGTTTGGGAAAAAATTATATTAGCATCAAAGAACTGGCTTCAGCCATTGAAGGGCATCAAAACTGTGTGTTTCACTTTGACCCACCCACTTTGAAATTGAATCAAATTTTGAATTTCAAGTTAGTTTGAAATAAGATGATTAAGGGTCACAAGAGAGAGAGTTCATGACAGCTGCATGGAACATTTCTGCAATATCATTGCATGGAACACAATAGCCGTTTAGATTTTATTAGTTGGTTCACAGAATGTTTGGCTGGAGAGTAATTGTAGGTGGTCAATAATTCTATATTTTTCAAATTCAAGAGAGTGAGTGAATGAGTATGCTTTTACGCAGTTTTTATCAATATTTCAGCAATATTACCAAGGGAACCACCACAAATTTTTAATTCAAGATTAACACTGTAACTAATGAATGAAAATCAAAATATTTTAAAAGATATGGTTGTTGTTTTTCATTTCACCACAACAAGTCATTGCACATCAATTTTTGCAAATCCCCCAAAACGCCTCACATATTTTGAAGGTGAGAAACCGAATCATGGCTTTAAGTGAGTGAGTGAGTGTGACTTTGCACCACTTGTAGCAATATTCCAGCAATATCATGGCGGGGGACACCAGAAATGGGCTTCACACATTGTACCCATGTGGGGAATCGAACCCCAGTCTTCGGGGTGACAAGCAAACACTTTATCCACTAGGCTACCACACCGCCCCCATGGCTTTTTAGTGTGAACTCCCAAACTTGATCAAATGTTGATTGATGTCGATAGTAGGTAGGAATTGGACTTTAAATTCATGAATGAAGAAAGACTCCATAACAGGAAAGATTAAATAACCAGTCCCTGTCAGAATACATGGGTGAACAAATACAAGGAACTCAACACACACAAATTATTTAAAACAATGGAATGTTTACTTTGATTACACACTGCTATACTTCCACATCACAATACATGACATCTAAATGCATTGCTAAGGCCAACATGTATCAGTTTTTAGCATTGAGCATGTGGTATACTTAAAGCAGTATGTGTGAAATATATGAGAGATCTTCCAATAGATTGCGGTATATTTCATTTTCAAGTCCAATATCTAAAATGAACTAACTGTATTTTCAAATACAGCTCAATAAACAATTGGAAACAAACTAATTTTGCCAATAGAATGACTTAAAATGACATCAGAATTTAAAAATTCATGAAAGCCAGTTGAAACACTTAACTAAAACTTTTGTTCATATTCTCAACATTAGCTGAAAGTTGATTGTTGAACAGTGACAGTTTGAAAACTGCTCTTAAATGTATTTACATTAATCACTTGTCAAATGAAATCATATGTGATGAAAAAATAACCCAACAGCAAAAGAGTTGAAGAAATGTCCCCCCAGAGTGCGGATGCCAATATAACTAAATCAATTACAATATTCAACTCTGAAAGAGATGTCACAAACTTAATTTCATATTGTTTATGTCTGAATTAACAAATAAAATCAGTGAAAAAACACGCCATGATACAAATTCATTTAAACTGTCTTTCAAGGCTAATTAACCATTTAATTTTTATGCTTCAAGGTGAACCTCACGAGACTGATTTCATCAAATTTTCACTAGTCTAATCACAACTTATTTGTGCACATGGGGATGATACTGCTATTGGATAAGTATCGATGTTACAATAGACTGGGAAGTGTATATATTTGAGACATTAAGAATAACAATGTGGTCTAATGTATATATACAAAGACTTCCTTATAAAGGAATATAGATTATACACTGATTCCCCAAACAGTTATTACATTAGTGAATGTTAACTTGCTGAAAATGCACTTATAATTTGGGGCTGTGATGATACAAGGTTGTATATGATATAAGTGTTGAGTACACACAAAACGTTCAATGTTAGACGTATTTTAAGGCTACAAAATATCTGGGTGAGTGAGTATGCTTTAATGCCGGTTTTAGCAATATTCCAGCAATATCACCGGGGACACCAGAAATGGGCATCACACAGTGTACCCATGTGGGGAATTGAACCCGGGTCTTCGACGTGAAGAGCGGATGGTTTAACCGGTACGCTACCCCACCACCCCAAAATATCTGGGCAATAATTAGGTCAAATAAAATGGATATAGATAATTTGTTCATTTCATTGAACTCATACTTTATTGGAAATGAAAAAATGTTTCCTGTACAGATAACACCGAATAGGTTGGTAGATTAGTGAACAAAATGGTTAAGAATGGTTTGTAATCCAGAAACAGCCTATGTTAATACAGTGGAACATGGGGCTCTTGGGAAATTCGAATTTGTCATCACTATGATGAAATTACTCTTCCAAATGTAATTTTGCGTGATACACAATGAAGATAATTCAATAACAAGAATTACATTTTGTCTAATCGGGACAACACAGTCAGGTTAAAATAGATTTAGTTATACAAATCATCCCAAATTGATTGAACGTTTACCAGCCTGACCGGAAATGAGTCCAAAGACCAGTAAGGTCAAATCTGAAATTGAACAAGTTAACCAACAGCTGGACACTGACCAAGTCAAACCAGCCACCGAGGGGGATGTATCGTGAGAACCCAGAATAGTTTTTAGCCTTAAATAACAATCTAGATATTGGACATCATTGAAAACATTTCTGCATCACTTGTATCCTGAAAACTAAAATATGATCAGTGATAACAGAGACCATATAATAGAGGGACGGCCCTCCCCAACAGTTTATCACTAACCTATTATATGGTCTCTGGTGATATCCGTTATTCGGGTCTGTATCATCACAGCTACCTATATATACGATGCAATTATTTTCTAATAGAATCATTTCATTAATATACAGCTTACAATATAGCTCCAGTCTGTTGAAGTAATCTACACTCAGTAAACAGCTGCATGAACTTAAATCTGAAGCATGTGAGTATGAAGGCTCATTGGCAGTGACTTCAATCCGTAAGCATTGAAAGATTTGGCGTCTGTGTAAGCAGTGATGTAAAAATAAACCTTTATCAACCTTAAAATCAGAGTCTGTGCATGTCCACAAAACTGAAAAACTTAGGCTAAAAACACTTTGACAGTCATAAAAAGTCAATATTTTGGCATCTGTGTCATGATTTTAGCAATATTTCATGAAGACTTTGTATGTATGATCATTTCATCAATAGGAAGATTAAAATAAAACAGTTTTTCATATTCATTAAAACCACTGAAAGCCTTCAAGAACGAAAAATATCATCTCAATGTTTCTTTAGTTTAACATTGAAAAGGGAGGTAATTTCATGGATGTGAAGTTACCTCCCTTTGTCCAAAATCCACCATCTTTGACCAGTCAGAAAGATTTGAACAGAATATCTTCAGTGACATGAGACAAAAGAGTAGTCTCCAACATTTATACAATGTCACTGTATTGATAATGATGGCTGTTTGAAATATGGAAACATACACATTGTACAACCCATATTCGACCTATAATACATGCCTTTCACTAAAATACAACACCCTTTCTCAAAGAAATTTTAACCAAAATTAAATACAGAACTTAACTTTTAAATTAAGGGGACACTTTTTTCCAAAGGAACCACAATGTTAAGAAAAATGGTACAACATAACTATTTTAAACTCCTACGATGAGCTTGAATGTTTGCTGAAAACTTGTATACTTTAATACACGTGAATACATTCAACTCTTCAAATTGTATCACTTAGTCAATTAATCAAGGGCATTGTATTTTAACAAGAAGAAGTTTGAAAGCTTTGAATCACTCAGTCACAGTGGAATCACAACCAAACTGGGCGCTGCATCAGTGACAGCTTTAATTACACCAACTCCATACAGATGCTGTGCAAGCACCTCATCCCGAACGCCGAAATTGAGCATCTTTGTAAAATGTACCAATTTGTTGGAACATCACATATCCTCAGCTTGATGAAAGAGGAATAAATTCAGGTTTAGAACGACAGACTGTTCAGTTCAAAGAATTCGAGAGATCACAAATGATACACCAGTCCGTCCACAATTCACTGATCATCCTTTGGAACTGGACTTTTCCCCTTCTGTATATACACTATCACTTGAATCCAGGAACGGAGCATGAAGTAGGAAGCAGATTTCGTCTGATATTCTCTAGTTGTGTTTCGCTCTCTTACCCTTCATGTAGTCTGTCCATCTATCCGCCGTTGTTTTGAATAAAGGGTCACGCTCTATGACACTGAGCTCTAGTAATTGGTTGATATGTGTTGTATGATAATCCCACCGTGCTCGGTTTGGGGCAAGACCTAGCGTAATATGCCGCAGGTCGTAAAACGTTCCTGACCCAGTATCAAACATACCCAACATGAACTTAAGAGAAGTCAATCCACGTTGGTACAAATTATTTGCCATATCTGCAGCTTCACCTGAAGCTGTCTCTTTAAGGTCGTACAGACCAAGAAGTGAATATATGAATCCATTCAACACAAAACTGCTTGGAGTTGTCGGATACTCCTCGTACCAGTCGTATTCACCTGCAAATTTCGCCAACACTCCTCCCTGCTCGCTACTGATTTCAAACAATTTCATTGCATCAATAGCGGCGATTAAATATTTCTTGGCCTTTGTCTTCAAGTACGCTCTCACAAGAAGTGACATTGCTTGACCTTGGGCCATCGCGGAGTACCATCCTGGGGGAAGCTCGAGCAGATTGGGAATGAGTTTACGACGTACAGCGATAGGCCATCCTCCACGGTTATTCTGATGACTGACTAACCAATTCGCAGCATCATAAAAATGATCCAAATGCGCTGATGATGACAACGTCAAATTATCCAGGTAGCCATGACCTCGTATGGAGATCTCTCGAATTTTGGAAAACTGATATTTCATTTTAATTCGTTTTGATTTGGAAAACCTCAATCCGAGGCCTTTCTGAAGGTCAATAGATATATCCCTGGCTAAATGGTGCCATCGTCCCCTTGTGTCTCCGAGTCCATAATAAATGTCTTTTCCCTCGAACATGATGAGAGTGTTGCTCAGTACATAGTGCAGGTTGAACACAACAGTACTGAGAGTCTCCACGGTCACAGTCACACTGCCATTTGTGGAAAACTTCAAGTCGGCTGTCACATACTTGTTCACTTTTTCATCAGCAACTATTCGTATTCCTGGAAGCTTGGTAGAATCTGGAAAAGACAAATCAATTAGCGAAGTTTAGCTACTGTTAAATCATTCTGAATCAATACGTCATATATTAACACATCTCTATCTTTCAGAATATCTTATCTCATCGTTTCACATTTTGTTGCTCTAAATTGTTGAAGGTCTCCAAACATAATGCAAAACAGGGTTCATTTTGAAAAAAATTATATTTCATTGCAACTTCTGATAATACTTATTTAATTATATTTATCCAGATTCTTATTTAAAACAAAAACTCAAAAAAAGCAAAAAGCTGACTGTAGGGAGTAACTCCTTCAAACTTACAGTCTGGTAGTTTCATTTGGGCAAGTATTGACGTTAGTTTCATGCCCAAATTTGCTTGGTGTATCAATTGTTTTTAGAAAGTGTAGAAAATGCAGTACACGATATTATCAAGAACTTTGTGACACAAAGTGGTGTTTGTTTGAGAACCATACATTGTTTTGTTTGCCCAGTATCAAGAACTGAAACCTTCATACACCAACATGTGTTCCCTTTCAAATATTTACCCACCAAACCAATTTCACATTCAGGTAATTCACAACCTTATGAAGTTTATTATTCTAGGTGAAGTGATTACCTCACAATGTATAATATAAATAAAAAGCAAGAGTTTTGAAAAATGAATTCAGACCAACGCTGGTTCCAATATGCGAGTCCACTAAAATACCACGCCAGTTTAACAGAGATACCCAACTCACAGCCAACCAATCCTTGTTTCTTCCTCTTAAGTCAGTCAAGGTAACAACAAGTACCATGTTTTATACTCTTCTGGAATGATGGGATCAAACAATCAACCTCAACTGGGTATACACTTGTGACAGAGTGATTTAGTAAGCATGGTTTTATGCCCCCTTTTAGCAATATTCCAGCAATATCACACCAGGGGACACTAGAAATGGGCTTCAAAGATTGTACCCATGTGGGGAATCGAACCTGGGTCTTCAGTGTGGTATATACTGTTCAGCTCCACTATGAAGTGAAATCAGTGAGTTAGGTTTTATGCCACTTTTAGCAATATTCCAGCAATATCACGGCGGGGACACCAGTAATGGGCTTCACAAATTGTACCCATGTGGGAAATCGAACCCAAATCTTTTGAGTGAATTGCAAACGCTTAAACCACAAGGCTCCCCACTGCCCCTGATGAAATCAACCTACCTGATGTCAAGAACTGTACTACATTTGAGAACTTGGAAACATCATTCTTCAAAACGGCAAAGGAGCGTTGTTCTGGTACTACCCAGTCTGCGGGGCTGTCTTCCTCTCCATCCTCCAGGATGATGACGTCCGGCTCCCCATCCATCATGTACTTGCTGTGGTGACTCAAGCCATACTGGGCGATCTGTATTGGGTAGTAGTGGCCCTCTGGTGTCCACTGTGTGGAGACTGGCACACCTATAACACACATAGTGGGTTAGATGAGGTGCGAGGAGTTTACCGTAACAGAAACATTTAGATTTGATGAGAGAACAACACTGTGTGGAGACTGGTCCACCCGTAACACACACAGCAGGTTAGTGGAGGTGCGAGGAGCTTACAGTAACAAGGCCATTTATAGATGTCATGACAGGACAACACTGTATGGAGCCTTGGACACATGTGTAACACATAGCAGGTCAGTTGAGGTGCAAGGGGCTTACAGTAACAGAAGGACACTGTGTGGAGATGGGTACACCTGTGTAACATATAGCAGGTCGGTTGAGGTGCAAGGAGCTTACAGTAACAGAAAGACACTGTTTAGAGACTGGTACACCTGTGTAACATATAGCAGGTCAGTTGAGGTGCAAGGAGCTTACAGTAACAGAAGGACACTGTGTGGAGATGGGTACACCTGTGTAACATATAGCAGGTCGGTTGAGGTGCAAGGAGCTTACAGTAACAGAAAGACACTGTTTAGAGACTGGTACACCTGTGTAACATATAGCAGGTCAGTTGAGGTACAAGGAGCTTACAGTAACAGAAGGACACTGTGTGGAGATGGGTACACCTGTGTAACATATAGCAGGTCGGTTGAGGTGCAAGGAGCTTACAGTAACAGAAGGACACTGTGTGGAGATGGGTACACCTGTGTAACATATAGCAGGTCGGTTGAGGTGCAAGGAGCTTATAGTAACAGAAGGACACTGTTTAGAGACTGGTACACCTGTGTAACATATAGCAGGTCAGTTGAGGTGCAAGGAGCTTACAGTAACAGAAGGACACTGTGTGAAGATGGGTACACCTGTGTAACATATAGCAGGTCGGTTGAGGTGCGAGGAGCTTATAGTAACAGAAAGACACTGTTTAGAGACTGGTACACATGTGTAAAACATAGCAGGTTACTTGAGGTGCGAGGAGCTTACAGGAACTAGGACACAACAAACTTCAAGATAGCAGGAATTATGGAGCACAATCTGAACTATAAAAAGGTAGGCCATGGTTTGCCAAATGGATCATTAAATAATCAGCATGAAAAGTACAATAAAATTTGAAATTGAATTGGATGAATTATTCACCAACCTGGACCAACAAATTGTTTAAATTGCTTTACTGACGTAAACCTCCATTAAACAAGTAAAACCAAAGGGCATGATGAAGACTCTAACGTGGCTTAAACATTTTCATTAATAGTTTATAAAGAAACACAGATATTATTTCAGCAAATGTGGATTACAAAAGACTAACAGGACAGCCCTGAGGGTATTTTACTAATTGCAGAATTTTAAAAGTTAGTCACATGTGGTACAACATTTGTGTCAATTTTAATCACTTATAGTCCGTTCATACACAGAACAGCACAACAGTTGAAGAAAAAATCCAGTTATTAATTTCACTAACGGTAACGCTTCAAAGGGATTAGAAACATCCCCAACTACATCACACGTCCCTGTGGAGGATCGTGCGTAAATGTTCAGTTGTAATTTTGGACTAAAGCAAACAAAACAGCGTGAAAAGATACCTTCAAAGCCGCTGATGCACTTAACGCGGTCCCTCTGTTCCACATTGTAATACTCGAACGACATGAAGATACCGCTGGGGGAATATTTGAGTCGAGGTTTGTGGATCTTTGAGTTCGCATGTTGCCATTCCAGTCGGTCGTAACCGTCTGTGTTGATAACGGAACCATATATCTGCAAGAGAAATGGTAAAAATAGAAACTTGTGACAACCATACCACATTTGAGTGAGTGAGGGTCTGTGTTGACAACGGAACCATATATCTGCAAGAGAAATGGTAAAAATAGAAACTTGTGACAACCATTCCACATTCGAGTGAGTGAGTGAGTTGGGTTTTTATGCCGCTTTTAGCAATATTCCAGCAATATCACAGCGGGGGACACCAGAAATGAGCTTCACACATTGTACCCATATGGGGAATCAAACCTGGGTCTTCGGTGTGATGAGCAAATGCTTTAACCACTAGGCTGTACCACCACCCCCACATTTCTCAAATCATGTTGACATTAAGATAGTTGCCGAAGTGACCAATATCCCTGCAATATCACAGTGGAGAATTCCACAAATGGCTTAATGTGGAGAATACAACCTGGCCTTGCACAGTCCAAGCAACCTCATTAATTATCCTTCTGTCCAATTTGCCAAAGATACTTATTTGGTACACGATACAAACATAACTGTATTCAATAGGTAATCTGATACATGTCTACACTTCTATTGTGAAAGATCAATGAATCATCGCACAAATTTTAGTGAGTGAGTTGAGTTTTACGCCCCTTTTAGCAATATTCCAGCAATATCACAGCGGGGAACCCTAGAAATGGGGTTAAAAAATTATACCCATGTGGGGAATCGAACTTTGGTCTTTGGCGAGACGAGCGAACACTTTAACCACAAGGCAACCCCACCACCCCTGTTATGTTATAGCTATAAAACATGGGCTATTCAAGTTGATGAAAATTATCCAATCCCAAAAAGCTGCACTAGGAAAGTGTGAATAATTGGCAAAATACTAATGTAATTAGTGAGTGAGGTTAGTTTTACGCCGCTTTTAGCAATATTCCAGCAATATCATAGCGGGGGACACCAGAAATGGGCATCACACATTTTACCCATGTGGGGATTCGAACCCGGGTTTAAAGTTTTACGCCGCCCTCAGCATATTCCAGCTACATGGCGGCGGTCTGTAAATAATTGAGTCTGGACGTGACAATGCAGTGATCAACAGCATGAGCATTGATCCATGCAACCTGGATGACGTGCGTAACCAAATCAGTGATCCTGACCATCCGACCCTGTTAGTCGCCTCCTACAACAAGCATGGATTACTGAAGATAAATTGTAACCCTGATCTTCACGAACCTCAAAGTAGTCCTGGATGAATCTGAAGGGTACATAGACCTCTCCCCCATCCCGGCGACACTTGATGGCATAGTCATCATTGATGACACAATCAATCTCCTTGTACTTGATCGCAGGGGTGTCTTTGTTTTTGATGGAGTTAGTCCCCCGAGGGACATTCATGTGATCATCGTAGCTCCTCTCGCCTGTAACGTCCTCTCTGTAGAAAAAAACATTTCATTGTATCCAAAATCAAATGAATTCTAGTCCCATGCCAGATGAGAGTGAATAAGTGAATATTGCTTAACGCTGCAATGTTGCAGCTATTCGTAGCGAGCCGGAGAATTTACAAAATACTCTAGTCTCAAATATATAAGCAATAATTTGTTTGTTTGTCGTTTAACACTCCACTCAGCATTTTTTCAAGATGCATGATTCTGATCTGTAAACAATTGAGTCTGGACCATACTATCAAGTGATTGACATCATGAGCACCAATCTACGTAATTGGATGCAATGACGTGTATCAAAATGGCAGACATGCTGTGCCTTTATGCTCAAACATATCTCAAAACACATTAAATATAACATTGTTTTTGATTATAGTAAGCCTAATTTGATTTTTGTGGCTGTTATGCAAATTTTGTAAAATATCACAAAATATAGAAAATATGTTTCAGTGTTCACATGCTGCTGCACTGACAAGCTACGATATGGTACATGAGTGAGTGATTATGGTTTTATGCCCCTTTTTAGCAATACTCCAGCAATATCACAGTGGGGAACACCCGAAATAAGCTTCATACATTGTACCCATGTGGGGAATTGAACCTGGGTGGTCAGCGTGATGTTTTTAGGCCACCCCACCATCCCTATAGTACTTGAAATACCCTGGACTTTTCAATATCCTGTGGGAATATTATCTGAATGGAATTCAAGAAGTTAGGGAGCAGATCAGAAGGCATACATCTGTAAGGATAACAGCTTCTGGTATATAGCATTTAGCAATGTATCAATGTTGACAGTTAAGAATGTACTGTATATCGCCATGCATAAAGGGGGTTGCCTTCTGCACAATTTTTTTTTTTTTTAATGCTGCCACACTCAGCAATATTATAGCTATATGATAGTGGTCTGTAAATGTAAATGTAAGTGATCAACAACATGAGCATCGATCTCCGCAATTGGGATACGACGATGTATCAACCAACTCAGCGAGCCTGACTACAGATCCCGTTAGTCGCCTCTTACGACAAGCATGGGTTACTGAAGATCAATTCTAACCCAGATCTTCACAGGTTATGCTCTGCACGAAATAGAAAAACTTACATTTTTCCTAACAGTATCACTTGAAGTATGTACAGGAGATCACCTTTTATGTGAGGATGCTTTGAAGACGACAATATACAGAACATCAAAGCACAGCTGAATGCAATATAACAGAAGTTGCTATCCATACAGATGTATGGTTTCATATTAATTATCCATCAGAAATAGTCCTGTACTGTGCATACAACCTTTATGACGAGTCTGATAGTGATACATTGACACTTCAATCCATCACTGACACTTCGGAAATAGAAACAGCCTACGATCTTAACCCCTGTCTGACAATGAGATATTGTGACGACGCGAAAGTGTGCATTAAGTATTGTGCTATGATGAATAACACAAGCTGAATGAGGTCTCAACAGCTTAAAGACGCTATGATTCATTTTTAAATTTTGACAGGTAGATTAAAGGTTTACCATCAATTCCAAAATACTTGTTTCATTAAATTTACATAAGAAATCTTGAGTAAGTAACAGTGAGTGAGTGAGTAAGTGAGTTTAGTTCTAAGTATTTTAGTATTGCCTTTAGCAATATTTCAGCAATATCACGGCTGGAGACACCAGAAATGGGCTTCACACATCGTACCCATGTGGGGGATCGAACCTAGGTGGTGAGCGAACACTTAAACCACAAGGCTACCCCACCACCCTGAGTAAATTACAAATGCATACAAACAAGATAATCAGGCTTCCATTAAAACAGTGCTAGGACTTGTCTTGAGGGCACTTGGTACTACTTCATTACTAAATGAAATGAGTGAGTGTTTGGTTTTACACTGCTTTTAGAAATATTCCAGCAATATCACGGCAGGTGACACCAGAAATGGGCTTGACACATTGTACCCATGTGGGGAATTGAACCCGGGTCTTCAGTATGAGAAGCGAATGCCTTAACCACTAGGCTACCCCACCACTCCTCCCTGTACAGGAAGGTGCCCAAATGCTCAAACTGTAAAAATATGTCATTTGGTATTTCTTGAATACTGTGTTCAACTGATTTTTTTCAGACATTTATACCAACATATAGAGCTAACAGACACCACCCATTCTCAATGTATGAAAATATTAATAACTTGACGTGAATATTGTACCTGAAGAAATTGTTGTCTTGTCTGTTGATGGTGCACTGGCTCCATAGACACACAGACAGGAAGGCAGACGACACGACCACTGCCGCGAAGAATTTGATGATTCTACTCTTTCGCATCCTCAGATTGCCTCATACGGCCATCTTGCATCTGAAATGAAGAAAGCTAAATATCAGACATATTGGAATTAAATCATATTAGAAGACATAAACTGGAAATAACAAATATGAAAAAATGAGTGCAAACAGAATTTATACACATAAAATGTGGGTACAATAAACGCGGTACACGGATGATTAATACAAAAACATGATGAGTAATCAGAAACTTCGCCGACTAAACCAACGAAAAAAAATTAGACAACACAAAAAGTATGACAAAAAACATGGCAAACATGAAACTCGAGAACAGTTGAAAACAGAAACTAAAACATACTTCTTGAAAACATATTCCTACAAATGTCAAATTCTATCTTAAGGTTGAAAGCAACAGCTCCACTATCTTCACACACTGAACGATGTTTTCTTTCAACTGTTCAATCTCATGCAAGTATTCCCCCTCCAATCTGTAGTAGACATCTTTCTCGTACGCTGTTCATTTCCGTGTAAGAAGCAGAACCGATCCCCTCATCAATTGCCATGCAACCAAAACTACTTCCAAACAATCTCAACATCTGTTCGAAAACTCTGTCCACCTTACGACACCGATATATTAGTCAAGGAACACAATTAGTTAATCCTCCATTTCTTAAGCAGTGGTCCTTTTCAAAACTAAAACTAAAAAAACAAGTCCAATTTAATCCATGAATCTCACGTTTAGTGAAGTAGATATAAATCATCTCCAATCCAGATGCACCCAAAGCTCCCAGGTGTAGGATGAAGCAGACACTATCTATCTCGGAGCTACCTTCGTCATTATGACGTAACACACCTGTCAACACTGATCTCATTAACCTGCGAACATCATACACAATATCCTGCCAGGGCTTCACCCAAACCTGGCAAAACTCTGTCCACACCTGCGGAAAATATCGCAAATAGTTTTCTATAGACAAACATTCCAAATATGTCTGAACATTTGGCGATTTTCTTCTTAAGTAGCCAGAGAGCCTCGGGGCTACGATATTAATAAATAATTTATTTTCTTAAGTGACACATAAGAGGAATAAATTCCCAAAATGGCTGTTGTGGTTGATTAGGTGATACACTTTGCTGGATGACAAGCGTGGGAGGCAAATAGTCGCAATAATTGAAAGGTATATTTGACATTTAGATCGATATGCCAATACTATCCATTACAATTTCAATATCATGGCTGCAGGAGACTCCAAATCTCGCATCACAAGAAATGTTTGGGTAAAAATAAATTGCAAAGCTGTAAAGATCCTAAAATGCCAAGCGATATTTGTTTCATAAATGATCAAATATATTTGATAAATATTCGTAGTCTTCTATTGAATCAAATCGATCAGAGACACCTTAATCAGGACTATTTTAGTATGGAGTTTTATTCTGATGAGAAGTATTGTGGAATATATGATATAGCGGTGGTGTAAGCATTTCTAATATGGCAGAGACAGCTGCAACAAGGAAAATGGATTGGTCAACAGGCAAAATGTCTACTTTCAGTCCTTACCAATACAAATATGTTGAAAGTGAGAGAGAGTGAGAGAGCATGGTTTTATGCCGCTTTTAGCAATATTCAAGCAATACCATGGCGGGGAACACCAGAAATGGGCTTCACACATTGTACCCATGTTGGGAAGCGAACCCGGGTCTTCGGTGCGACGAATGAACGCTTTAACCACTCGGTTACCCCACCCAGTCCATGAGTCAAAGTTAAAATATGGCATAGTATTGCCATGAGTTATAAACATGCAAAATAACCAGCATAGATCCAGACTTGTACAAGTAGCAACACTTGATTCTGTAAGTACAACAATTTTGAAGTAAACATTGAACTAAATTTCACCTCGACTGAAAACAGAAGTCAAAGTGAGGTGAGGTTAAATAGGGATTAATGTTGTATTTCGCTCATATGACGACGTGCATGCGTGTGTATGTGTATGTGCGGCTGCTTGTACTAGCCCAGACTGAAGCTGGTTTTATAGTGCTAGCCCACTGAGATACCATGCCGCAGTGAAGCATGAATACCCCACTCAGACACATTATACTGACTCCGAGCCGACCAGTCCTTCTTGTACCCATTAATGCCGAGCGCCAGGCAGGGACCAACAAGTACCATATTTTAACATCTTTTGGTATGACGTGATCTGGGATCGAACCCGCGTCTTTCCGCTCTCCGGGAGGACGCTCTAACTACTACAACACGGAGGCGGTCAGTGAGTCAAGGAGTGAGCCAGGTTCACAAATGTTAGACAATTATAATTAGATGACATGGAAGGTAGTCTCAAAAAGGCAGACAATTTCCACTTTAATGAAAATACTAAACCTGGGAATGGTACTAACAAACCAAGAGTCTTGAATTCAAACTCACTGCCCTTAATCCATGCACTGAATAATCTGTACAGCTAATTGTATCTGGCCATATAACGATTAAATAGGTCATTATCAACACTGATTGAAACATAAATAAACCAACAGCAATTAATACATTCCTCTGGTCTTAACGCTAAATCAAATAAGTAACAGACCAACCTTTTCCTGCAAAATCTCTCCAGGCACTACAACAAATTTTGAATTTCATTACAGGGAGAACCTTTCGTCCAAACAACACAAAACCACACCAACAGAGTGGGGACGCTGTTGACACTTTGAATGATGCCTTCATACTGTCTGAACTTGTTGGCTCCATCTGACTACTAGACTGACTCCGTATCACGCCGACATCTCCACATGTCTACCCTCAAGCAAACCCAAGCAAGACAATATCCACCTTTTTTGCCGATTCAACAGCCTTTACCCTGTCATGCAGTGAAAAACATTTACATGGAGATATCTTCAAATACTTTATGGCTCAGGTTGAGTGTAGGGTACAGACCCCCTTTGACTTTGCGTGTGCAAATGAACAAATACATTTAACAATAAATCATCACAGTTGGGTTTTTGTCATATTGTGTTTGTAACAGTTTCCGAATAGCTTGCACAGGGAAGAGCTCTTTGGGTTTTGAATATGACGCATTTCATGTGTATGAAAGGAAATATTTCTAGAAGAAATGCATTGAAAACATTCAACATGTGTTTAGAAATGTAAACATGCTAAAACTTATGAAAATACATCTGTTTTGACTTACATCTTGAAATGTTTCTTAGAATATAACTTTCATGTAAATCAGATAGCGTTCAGTTTTAAGTGAGTGAGACTTCGAATCTCTTTTAAAAATATTCCAGCAATATCATGGTTGGGGACACCAGAAATAGGCTTCCTACATTGTACCCATGTGGGGAATCAAACATGGGTCTTCAACGTGACAAGTGAACGCTTAAACCAGTAGGCTATCTCACCACCCCCACAACACTGTAAAAAGTTGGAAGAACGATTTTAGATAATAAATCGATTCTTCCACTTGTGTTTTTTACAACTAAAAACATCAACACTCAATAAAGTTTTAACACACAAGAGATTCTCTTCACATAAACATTCAACTTACAATAAATTGAAACCGATCTATTGAAAACCATGATGCAAAACAGAAAGATTGAATTTGTTTCTATTGATTACTTTACCACTGCACCAAAATAAGCAAGGTAAGCAACACGAGAAATTTTTTAACAAATTTAAAAGACAACCTCCATAAATCAACTTTTTTTTCACAACAGAAAAGAAGAATATTTGCATGACAGTTTTAAACCATTTTGTGCAGAACTCTCTTAAACATTGTAGAAAGTTAGGAATAAAATGGTCTTAAACCATCCAAATCTGTAGAAATCGTAAACTTGTAGTTTTGCCAAATTTTTCAGCTGTTGAGAGATTTTGCGAGAAGCATTAAGGAGTCTTCATAGAGCATGTGTCAACACTAAGGCTGAGTTCCTTCTCATGTTCTGCTGGGATCGGCACAAGAAACATCCGAGAAACTGAAAACAGCCATTTGGTTTCTATTTTAAAATATTATATCCACCACAACGTGAATGACATAAAAAAGCCAGCATAAAATGTGTACAAATAGTCACACCTTTCAATAACTGTCAGAGTTTTCCTGCTATGTACTATAATCACCAGATACCATAGATCAGGTACCACAGTACTACAGGTATGTACTATAATCACTAGATACTATAGATCAGGTACCACAGTACTACAGGTATGTACTATAATCACTAGATACCTGTAGTACTAGATACCATAGATCAGGTACCACAGTACTACAGGTATGTACTATAATCACTAGATACCATAGATCAGGTACCACAGTACTACAGGTATGTACTATAATCACTAGATACCATAGATCAGATACCACAGTACTACAGGTATGTACTATAATCACTAGATACCATAGATCAGGTACCACAGTACTACAGGTATGTATTATAATCACTAGATACCATAGATCAGGTATCACAGTACTACAGGTATGTACTATAATCACTAGATACCATAGATCAGGTACCACAGTACTACAGGTATGTACTATAATCACTAGATACTATAGATCAGATACCACAGTACTACAGGTATGTACTATAATCACCAGATACCATAGATCAGATACCACAGTACTACAGGTATGTACTATAATCACTAGATACCATAGATCAGGTACCACAGTACTACAGGTATGTACTATAATCACTAGATACCATAGATCAGGTACCACAGTACTACAGGTGTGTACTATAATCACTAGATACCACATTACCGCCAGGCAGGGACCAACAAGTACCATAATTTAACATCTTTTGGTATGACGCGGTCGGGATCGAACCCGCAACCTTCCGCTCTCCGGGCGGACGCTCTAACCACGGAGGAGGTCCTACAGGTATGTATTATATCGGACACCACAATACCACAGGTAGGTACAACATCAGAGGTATGTATTGTATCCAATACCACATGCTACAGTATCAGGAACCACAATACTACAGGTAGGTATTATATCAGAGGTATGTATATTATCCAGTACCACATGTTACAGTATCAGGAACCACAATACTACAGGTAGGTATTATATCAGAGGTATGTATTGTATC